TAGCAGAGACATGTGTTCATGGAATTTCCTATAAAGGGGTTGCAGAAAAAGTTACCCCACGTTGAAGTAGATTCAGACCAGGCTTTCCTGTGTGGGTTCTGGGGCCTAATATGGGTCGGGGGGATAGACCACTGTCCCTTCCAGGTATGTAGGTAGACAGGGTTAACTAGGGTTTGCTGGTTTTGAAGGCGAATGTATCACATCATCACAGCGCATGTACCAGCCTCCTTGTACGGGTGAACGCAGAAGGAGGAGAAAAAGAAAACTAGAAGAAGAAGAGAAAGAAGAAGAAGAAGAAGAAAGAAGAAGAAAAAGAAATAGAAGAAAAAGAAGAAGAAGAAGAGGAAGATCAAGAACAACATCAACAACAGCAGCAGCAATAAAAACAAAAATAACAACAACAACAGCAAGAGAAGTACTAGCAGAATAATAACCAGAAGAAGAAGACCATGAAGAAGAAGAAGAAGAAGAAGAAGAAGAAGAAGAAGAAGAAGAAGAAGAAGAAGAAGAAGAAGAAGAAGAAGAAGAAGAAAAAGAACAACAACAAGAGAAGTACACACACACACACACACACAAAGAATAACCAGAAGAAGAATTTAAATTCGAATTTAATCTTTTACAATTCTAAATCTAAATAAGCAGTCTTTCACAGTCACATTTTTTTTTTCCCCAGAGCAATGCTTTAATGGTTCTTTTATTTGGGTGAAGACTCTTTCCCTGTGCGGAAAACCTCAGTGAATTGCTTTGATAATTGAATACATAAGACTGCTAGGAATTAACAGTTCCTTCTTAAATTGACACCATTCTTCTATGGCTATATATTGCCAGTCATCTGATAATATAATCATGTTGTTTACGAGGCGATAAGATTATCTTGTTTATCATTTAGATGCTATCTGATCCATGGTTTCTAGTCAAGGTCAGATTGTTGTTGAATTAACAATCACGCCTCATATTTCAGTGGGATTAAGCTCGCTTATTAGAGGGGCATTTGCCATATCCATGTTTATTAGAATCAAGACTTTTTATAGAAATTACTTTTTTCTATCCCTTTTTCAGTCTGTTGTCCCTCAAAGCTTGTAATGTTAAAGGGGGATTGTTTCTCTGACTTTCAAAACTATATTGATATGTTTCGTTTCATCGAGGTCTAAGGTAGGTAGGTAGGTTGTACCCCACCAGGACATCACAAAGCGATAAACACCCGGTGACACAAAGTGCCACCATGCAGATGAGGATCACTCGTGGAGAGGTCCCTGAAATCTAGTTCAGCCGTTAGGCCATATTTATGACCTGAGGTGGGGCTTTAAAATAAGAATAAATTGCATCCCATTAGGTGATGACTTGTACTTCATCGGCATTGGGGTCTATGAGTATGGAAGTGCAGCTCTAAGGTGGATAGCAGTACGCCAACATTGCAGAGAATCACGTGGATATACTATCACATGGATATACTATCACATGGGTATACTGTCTGGGATATGCAGGAGCGTACTGAAATTAAAGAGCCGATTTTCTGGCTTCAAAAACGAAAGCTGCGGAAACACTTGCACTGGGCAAGGGAGATATTCTGAAGACCGTATATGAATGACTTTTGGCAGAAGACACAAGATTAGATGAAATAACATGGGCAAGAATGTGTGAACGAGAAATTAAGTGTGGATCCAGCAAGGAGGGACGGATGCAAAGAAGAGAATAATAGATGTATAATCAGTGAGCAACAGGAACAGTAAGCATCTACACCTTAAGACATTTTCTGTGAGAGACGGAGCTTCTGTGAGTATGCTTGGTGTGCTATGATGTTGATTCTTCAATCAGTAAATCAGCCGGGAAGGCTAACCCGGCCAACAAATGCCTGCAGAAGTTAGATGTGTTGGCCGAAATTTGCAAATAGTACAGCCATGCTGTAAACGGACACAACGCAGTTACATCTTCGGATGAATGCAGAAGAAGAAGAAGAAAGCAGTAAATCATTGTGTAACAAGCCAAAGAAACAACACAATGAATAATTGGGGCTTGGTATTTAAAGGGACGGGCTCAGTCCCATTGTAATTTTAATTGTCTAGTTAGAATTCATGAGCTTAAGCCTTGTTTAGTACGCAGCGATAATAAAAATGTACTGAAGGGCAAATAAAGAAAACAAATATATATATATATATATATAATAAAGTGGTATTAGGGGCCCTGAATCACTAGCTTCTGACGCCTGCGGTAGCCACTGATTTGCAAAACCTCACTGCCAGGCCTTTTTAACGCTTGGACACAATGGGCAGTTTCTCTTTGGACTTGCAGCGTAGAAACCAGATGCTACTTTTGATTTCACATTCTAAGCTAATGTTTTGTCTAAACGTTTGTTTTGTTCATTGCATTATTACGTAGACAGTGGATTGAGTTTTTGCGCGGAGTCACCTTCAGCTTTGGCCCAGGTATGCTGCTGACAGTGAAAGAGCAGACAAACTGGCCGCTTCTGCCTTAGTTGCAGTTGGTTGGCCTATGGATTGCGCTGATTTTGTTCACTCTTTCAGTCCCGGACAATGCACAGTGTGTGACTAGATTTACTGGTATACACCAGTTAACCTGTTATTATGATGGTACATTTTATGTTTAGTTGGGACATGCTAAATCACTCAACAACACATTTATCTCCCAAAAGAGATGCGTAACTGGACCTTGTAGATGAAGTATACCAATTATTTCCACTTTGACTTTAATACACTCATGTTTTTAGGTTTTGAACAACAGATCAACATCATGGCACATAGGTAGTAACACACAAGGGCTCTGCTTTTTTTCTACCTCAAGTCTGAGTCCAAAGAAGCTCAGTACAGTCCACAGGCTCTGTAGCACCGGCAAGGATCCTGAAATACTTTAAGTAGATTTTTAACTCCAAATTTTACCTGGGCAGTGCTGTTAGGCTACTCTTTTCAGTTTCCAACTGCCATGGGATATTTTTACATGTGCAACAAAGCACACAGGCCTTCGATCTCACTACCCAGAGACCAGGGGGAATTACTAAAAGTCCAAGTCCACGTGAAAAAAATCCCAGCCCTTACAGGGCATTCAAGATGGTTTGGTCATCCACTGTCATGTCCAAATTGTCGGGACATTTTTCTGCTATTGGATCAAGATGGACACAGGTGAGAGAGTGTGGTCGGCAAAACTCTTCCTTACATAAATTCAAGTCCTTGCGCAAGTCAGGTTCATCCGATTATCATCCTCCTATTTGGGATGAAAAGTGGTCTTCATCACTTATGATGAACAAACAAAACTACACACCGCTGTCTAGTTCTATAGGAGTTCCAATGGTTACAGTATGGGACAAATGAAACTGAATTAACAATTAATATAAAATAGATTCATGGTACAACCGGATTTCACTCATAAATCTCAGAGAAATTATAAACATTTGGGGAACTCTGAGAGACACAGGTGAGCGGTTCAGTGCTGGGAACTCTGAGAGACACAGGTGAGCGGTTCAGTCCTGGGAACTCTGAGAGACACAGGTGAGCGGTTCAGTGCTGGGAACTCTGAGATACTCAGGTGAGCGGTTCAGTGCTGGGAACTCTGAGAGACACAGGCGAGCGGTTCAGTGCTGGGAACTCTGAGAGACACAGGTCAGCGGTTCAGTGCTGGGAACTCTGAGAGACACAGGCAAGTGGTTCAGTGCTGGGAACTCTGAGAGACACAGGTGAGTGGTTCAGTGTGGGAACTCTGAGAGACACAGGCGAGTGGTTCAGTGCTGGGAACTCTGAGAGACACAGGCGAGTGGTTCAGTGCTGGGAACTCTGAGATACACAGGTGAGCGGTTCAGTGCTGGGAACTCTGAGAGACACAGGCGAGTGGTTCAGTGCTGGGAACTCTGAGAGACACAGGTGAGCGGTTCAGTGCTGGGAACTCTGAGAGACACAGGCGAGTGGTTCAGTGCTGGGAACTCTGAGATACACAGGCGAGTGGTTCAGTGCTGGGAACTCTGAGAGACACAGGCGAGTGGTTCAGTGCTGGGAACTCTGAGAGACACAGGCGAGTGGTTCAGTGCTGGGAACTCTGAGAGACACAGGCGAGTGGTTCGGTGCTAAATGAGTTTAAATAACTGTTGGAGACTTCTTGAGCATGACAGTACATTTCTCAAAATTAAAAAAATGTAAAATTTCAAAAAGGCAAAATTAAAAAAAAAAATTTTTAACAAACGGTGTTCACATGTTAGTCGACATATTATTTTCATTGCACATCGGACCATTCAGTCCATAAGTGATTGGATTCGATCCTTAGTAAATCCCACAGCTTCTAGCGGCTGACAACACCAGTTCTGTGTTTGGTTTTTCTTCTCTGGTTTCCATAGTGCTCTTGTCTGGTTACACTCCTTTTAACATGCTGTTCTTGCAGTCTGGTCATGGATGCAGATTCACAATCACTTGGTTTTTGCAAAAATCTTACTTCTTGTAGAACATTCAGAATATCAGCATGGTCCATTGCTCATCTGCCCTCCACAGTAGCTTTACCTGCAAGCCTATCAGCTTGCTCATCTGCCCTCCACAGTAGCTTTACCTGCAAGCCGATCAGCTTGCTCATCTGCCCTCCACAGTAGCTTTACCTGCAAGCCTATCAGCTTGCTCATCTGCCCTCCACAGTAGCTTTACCTGCAAGCCGATCAGCTTGCTCATCTGCCCTCCACAGTAGCTTTACCTGCAAGCCGATCAGCTTGCTCATCTGCCCTCCACAGTAGCTTTACCTGCAAGCCGATCAGCTTGCTCATCTGCCCTCCACAGTAGCTTTACCTGCAAGCCGATCAGCTTGCTCATCTGCCCTCCACAGTAGCTTTACCTGCAAGCCGATCAGCTTGCTCATCTGCCCTCCACAGTAGCTTTACCTGCAAGCCGATCAGCTTGCTCATTTCCTTATTGCCAGTTTTGGCCTTGGGTCATTCTTTGTCCACCCTGTCTACAAACTGTATTAAAGTACAATGTCTATGTTTTATTCATCCTAATCAACTTGTCTGTCAATAGATGAAGATGAGTGTCTCCATGACAATGGAGGATGTGTTCACTTGTGCATGAATACACCAGGAAACTACTCATGTCTCTGCAGAGATGGCTTCATTCTTGCTGCTGATGGTAAGGACTGTTTAGGTAAGTGATTCTTGTTATAATTGACTTGATTTTGTTGTTTAAGTTTTTCTGGGATCATTTAACTCTTTGAGTGTCATTCAGCAGGAACTGCTGACTGTTGCATGTAGGCAAAGCATGCTGCAAGCGAGGTTGTGCCTCAGAGTAGCTACAGACAAGAAACACCTTTTGTATTAAGCTCTAGATAGAGTGAAGAGTTCACAGACTGAAAAGAAGATGGTCTTAGATGACACAAGCGGAAAACACAATGAGACATAAGTGCATTCTTAACAGATATTAGATGAGATGAGTGGGTTAAAGTTGCTGAAAGGAGCAATTAAAAACCAATAAAAAGCAAGTAAATAACCTAGATTTAATGAATAAACTCTTAAATAAACAGCCCCCAAGAACTTGAATGCACATTGAGAAACCTGAAGAAAAGGAAGGTAGCTGGACCTGATCAAATAACAAATGAAATGATAGTACACTTGGGACCAGCTGGTAGGCAACAATTCTTAGACCTTATCAATCAATCCTGGACCCAGGGACTATTTGCTATGGAATGGAAGGAGGCAGAAATAGTCCCCATAACAAAGAAAGGAAATCTCAAGAAACACAAATTCAGTTACCGCCCCAAAAGCCTCCTACTTAATTTCCTGAAAAAAAAAAAAACAAGATATTAGATGACAGCTCATCAGGCTTTAGGAAATACAGAAGCACTGATGACCAAACCTCTTATCTCGCACAGAATATTGAAGATGCTTTCCTAAAAAAATACAAACTTTTAGCTACTTTCTTTTACCTGACCAAAGCCTTTGATAAGGTCCAGAAGATAGGACTTTTGCTAAAACTAGCACACAGTGGGAAAAAAGGGCATACATTTGCCTGGATTAGAGACTTTCTTTACAGATGCTGTGCGGGAGTCAGACTGGAAGAGCACAAGAGCAAGCTGATCAGGTTACAAGAGCAATCTGGTCAGGTTACAAGAGCAACCTGGTCAGGTTACAATAGCAAGCTGGTCAGGTTGGTTACAAGAGCAACCTGGTCAGGTTACAAGAGCAATCTGGTCAGGTTACAAGAGCAACCTGGTCAGGTTACAATAGCAAGCTGGTCAGGTTACAGGTTACAAGAGCAACCTGGTCAGGTTACAAGAGCAAGCTGGTCAGGTTACAAGACCAAGCTAGTCAGGTTACAAGAGCAAGCTGGTCAGGTTACAAGAGCAAGCTGGTCAGGTTACAAGAGCAAGCTAGTCAGGTTACAAGAGCAACCTGGTCAGGTTACAAGAGCAAGCTGGTCAGGTTACAAGAGCAAGCTGGTCAGGTTACAGGTTACAATAGCAAGCTGGTCAGGTTACAAGAGCAACCTGGTCAGGTTACAAGAGCAAGCTGGTCAGGTTACAAGAGCAACCTGGTCAGGTTACAAGACCAAGCTGGTCATGTTACAAGACCAAGCTGGTCAGGTTACAAGAGCAAGCTGGTCAGGTTACAAGAGCAAGCTGGTCAGGTTACAATAGCAAGCTGGTCAGGTTACAAGAGCAAGCTGGTCAGGTTACAAGAGCAACCTGGTCAGGTTACAAGACCAAGCTGGTCATGTTACAAGACCAAGCTGGTCAGGTTACAAGAGCAAGCTGGTCAGGTTACAAGAGCAAGCTGGTCAGGTTACAATAGCAAGCTGGTCAGGTTACAAGAGCAAGCTGGTCAGGTTACAAGAGCAACCTGGTCAGGTTACAAGACCAAGCTGGTCATGTTACAAGACCAAGCTGGTCAGGTTACAAGAGCAAGCTGGTCAGGTTACAAGAGCAAGCTGGTCAGGTTACAAGAGCAAGCTGGTCAGGTTACAAGAGCAACCTGGTCAGGTTACAAGACCAAGCTAGTCAGGTTACGAGAGCAAGCTAGTCAGGTTACAAGACCAAGCTAGTCAGGTTACGAGAGCAAGCTAGTCAGGTTACAAGAGCAAGCTAGTCAGGTTACAAGACCAAGCTAGTCAGGTTACGAGAGCAAGCTAGTCAGATTACAAGAGCAAGCTAGTCAGGTTACGAGAGCAAGCTAGTCAGGTTATGAGAGCAAGTTAGTCAGGTTACAAGACCAAGCTGGTCATGTTACAAGAGCAAGCTGGTCAGGTTACAAGAGCAAGCTGGTCAGGTTACAAGAGCAAGCTGGTCAGGTTACAAGAACAAGCTGGTCGAGTTACAAGAAGGTGTCCCACATGGAGGTGTTATATCTCCTACCCTGTTTATCCTTTTTATCAGTGATCTCCTAAAACAGTTCACGACTCACATTCACAAGGCCCTACATGCAGATGACCTGGCCATATGGACCGAAGCTGAACATATAGGAACAACTAAAACAAAAATGCAGGAAGCTATGAATACAGTTAAGAAATGGTCAGACTCTTAGGAGTGGGAGGGGGGGGGGGAGGGTGGGGGGGAAGCACAATAAACCAGACCAAAGCCGTCTCGACTCTCTTCTCTCTTTCCATAAAGCTAGAACAAGCTGATGTGTACCTAGATGGCAACATCCTTCCAAAAGAGGAAAATCCCACATATTTGGGAGTAAAATTTGACAAAAGACTAACCTGGGGCACCCACATTGAAGACACCCTAATGAAAGCTACTCTACGGCACAGACTTAGAAGACACTTACTGAAACAAGCTGGGGTGCAGAAGCCAACACATTACAAGTATACACAGAATATGTACAACAAAAACTGGAGTATGGCATGGGAGCATACTCCACTGCAGCCATATAAATCTATACAAGCTGGACAAAATATGGAACACTTGTCTCAGAATCATCACTAGAGGTATAAGAAGCACACCAATCAATGAGCTGGAAGCAACTTCTGGCCTCCAGAGCTTAGGCCAGCGAAGGGAAGAAAAGGTGCTTACCTTAACAGAAAAACTTAAACACATTAATAACAACCCCACAAAAAGCAAACAACTTAACTAAAAACCATCTAAAAAGACAAATCTTCCATCATCTGTCAAAACTGTACTACGCCAAAAACAGTGACATCCTTTCTAAGGACCCTTCAGTGTTGGAAAGGATTCCGGCATACTGCATTGACCTACAAATAACTATACACTCACAACAACGATCCCAAGCATAGACAGAAAGGCTGAAGAATGTGACCTAGTACTGCATGCAAAGACCCTTTAACATGTCTACAGCTCTTACCAAGAACCAGAACGGACACATGTTTACATCAATGGATCAATGTAGGGAACACACAAACAATCCTGGAGGAGCTGGATCGGTCATCATGCTGCAAGAAGCAACCAAAGTAGAAAGATCATCCGCCCCCAGAAGACTCAACCAACCAGAGCAGAGCAGCAAGCAATTATTGATGCAGCCAAATTGCTTGAGAAAATAAAAATTAAAAACACCAAAATTGTTTTCCTTTGTGACTGCATATCAGCCTCCATGCAACTCTGAGGGAATCCATGAGACAACATAGAGATAGAACTGACCCGCCAGCTAAATAGACTTTCAGAAAACTATCAAATCATTCTCCAGTGAATCCTGGCTCACTGCAGCATACCAGGAAATGAGCTGGCTGACAGACTTGCAAAAATGGAACATAGGATAAACAATACACCCATTCATTGTCATTACCAGAAATCAAAACACTTATCAAGGGAAAAACAAGGAATTATGGAGGGAACAAACCCATAAAAAACATTCACTATTTCCCCCCGTCCATGAGATGAGATTATCTATACCAATGGCTTATTTTCTTCAGGGTGTATGCCCGTGTGTTGGGAAATGAACAAACAGACAAACTGGCTGGCTCTGCACAACTTACTGGGATATTGATGTTGATGCATGTTAAGGCATAGCAATGGTTTGTAGCAAAAGTGAAAGAACGGAGCACTAACTGGAATGTCCCAACGGAGTACTTACTGGAATGTCCCAATGGAGCACTTACTGAAATGTCCCGACAAAGCACTTACTGGAATATTCCGATGGAGCACTTACTGGAATGTCCCTGTTGAGCACTTACTGGAATGTTCTGACAAAGCACTTATTGGAATGTCCCAATAGAGCACTTACTGGAATGTCCAGAGTCCTATAATGTCAGTTCTTAGCTCAGTACTAAACTTCTTCCCAGACACTTCCTAGAAGATTATGAAAATTGTCTGCTATCCATCTTTATTCATTTTTCTGGCAGCGTGCAGTGGCTAAATACTCGCCTCCTGACTCAGTTGTCTAGGATTCAAATCCTCATCATTTCATATTTTTTTCTTTTAATCTATCTTGGGTTTTAGGCTGACCCAGTCAAAAATAGATACCAGGTCACGTCCTGGGAAGTAAAGGTGACCAGCATGATGCTGACCACATCACCCATTGAGTGTTAATTCTTTTTCTTCTTCTTCAGCATTCCGAGCTGTTGAGGTTCACTGCTGCAGATATCACCCACCTCCATTCATCTCTCTGGTTGGCCTTCTCTTTTCAGTTGGTGACAACAAGTGTTTGCAGGTCTTTCTGGATATTATCTTTCCATCGTCTTCTTGGTCTGCCTTGAGGTCTATGACCATTCATCTCCCTCGTGTGTACAGTTTTTACTTCTCTGTCATCTGACATTCTTTTAATATGCCCTAGCCATTTCAGTCTATTAGCTCTCATGATGCCAGTGATCAGTGGTGACTTAAACAGACTGGGAATTTAGTTGTTGCTTCTCACTCCTCATTCACCGCTGTTTGCATGGAGTGTTAATTGGTCTTTAAGAAATAGGTTTCCCACCATCTCCCCAGTGCATGTTTTTATGAGGCTGGGTTGACTCCAAAGCCATACAGGTCAGAAAACATCCTGCCACTTCTAAAGATTGAAATGACACACTGTCTCAGCACACAGGTACAGTGACCACTGACTGTATCGTCATGATTGATCTGGTAAATATGCATATTATATGAATCCGAGACATAATTGTAGTCACAGAGTTTTCCTAAACTCAAGAAAGAATCTATTGGGGCCTTCAAAATGATACTACAGGATCCCCTTGATGTAGACTGAGTTACGTTTGAATTTATACTTTTCATTATTTTCATTTAAATGTGTTATAAAAAACAGACGACTGTTTGTAGTATAATTACTGTACATGATATGAAAAATTCATAACATGTACTTGGCTCTGGGAACTTTTTGCCCTGACCAGTGTAGTTTGTCTTTCCTTCCTGTTTAAAAATTTTAAAAATAAAAAAAAATTTTTAAACACTTAAAAAAAAAATTACTTAACAAAGTGCATGGGGTTTTATAGCAAGGGCGAATGAACGTCGCCTAGTGCAGCAAAGCCTTGCATATGATATCACAACATCTAGTTTGAGAATGGAGGTGGAGGCAGTCTCTGCTGCCTTCGGCTGGCTTGAGAATCAGCTGTACACAAATGCTGAGATTGTAACTGACTCGTAGAGCATGTTGAGAAAGGTAAAGACAGACATGCTTCATGCAGAGTGGAAAGTATCACTTCAGAGATCCCGGGTGGTGAAATGATGTATGACAAGTTAGATATTGTGAGGGCCCTTTGGGAGCGAGTGAACAGTGCAGATCATTACGGTCTAAGGAGAATTGCGCTGTGAGGAGTTACCAAGGGATCTGACTGACGCTCAACACTCAGGGTAAAGGATGAGATGGATATACAATCAGACGGTTACGGGTGCCATCGGAATTTGAACTTTTCGCTTACTGCTGAAGATCGGGACTGAGCACTAATGGGAGTGTCCTGAGTGCTGTGATGTTGATTCTTAATTCAACATTCAACATTTATTAATTATTTTTGTGGTCGCAAATGTGGATGGTTTCAAGTTGCATACATTGTAGGTGAAAGAGAAGGTGTACAGGGCACTGTAGAGAGGAAGAGGAAAAGAGGCAGACCAAGAAAGACCTGGATGCATAATTTGGCTGAATGGACAGGCCTCAAACATGCAGACATCAAATCCATTGCATGTAACCAACAGAGGTAGAGGGAAATGATCAGTCACCAAAAACTGGTAACATTGCCTAAATTTGGGAAGCAATTCGTATGTTACTTTAAAGCTCCACCCGAGCTGTCGTTGGGGGGCAGTAATATACCCTAACAATTGAAAAGTGCTTCTAGTGCATCCAAATGATGGCATTTTATGTCATTATGTGTTTGATCACACCTTGTGCTGTCTGGTGGGGCTGGACATCACTCAATCACAACAACTGGTAACCCAATGACACGTGGTGTTATGGGACTTTGATTATGAAGAAAACAGGATTGACAATAATAATTAAAAAAGAAAAAGTAAAGGACCCTTTTCCACACCTTTTGGTGTATAGGGCATATAGGGCAAGACCTTTTTTGTTAACACGCCATTCGGCACAAGATGGGTAATTTGGTCAGCATCATGCTGGCCGCCTTTACTTCCCAGGACTGCACCCGGTACCCACTCAAGGCTGGGTCAACCTGGGAGCCAAGGTCATTTTTGAAAATGGTCCAGCTCCGCCAGGAAGCGAACCCACGACCTTCCAATCAGCGGCGAGCATCTAGCCGCTCCACCACGGGGACTCCCTTGACAATAATTGTTTTTTTTATATTTTCTGTTCACAGATAAAAATGAATGTTTTGAAAACAAAGGAGGGTGCCAACACCACTGCATCAATACACTAGGAAGTTTTGAGTGTGGTTGCCATCAGGGATATTCGCTGGACACTAACGGGAAGGAATGTGTCTGTGAGTTGAATCATTTCTGTGTGAATTTATATCTTCTTCTTTTTGTTCATCTGAGTGACATCACTGCATTGTGGCTGTTTCCAGTAAAGCTGTGATAATCATGCTTTTTGGCTGACACATCCGACTTCATCAGGCAAATGTTTACCAGGTTAGCTTTCTCGGGTGAATTTACAATTTTATGCCGATATTATTATTAATAAAAGCAAGTGTACTTATATACCAATAGTCACCATTATTAAGACATCCAAGCATAACTATGAGTGCAAAGAGACAGATTATTAATAGCATATTCATTCCAACATTAAGCTACCAGTGCCAAACATGGACACTATCTAAAGCCTATATATGCAAAATCACCACCTGCGAGATGAGGTGCCTGAAAAAAGCAGCCAACCTAACCATACAAGATTGAGTGAATAATGAAACTATCAGGCAAATTGTGGGACCGACACCTTGTACTAGATTCATCGAGAAACAGCAGATCAAGTGGTTTGGCCATCTTGTTAGAATGCTGCAAGATCAAATACCATCACAAGAACTACATCTCAGAAGATCAGCTACAAGAGCAAGAGGACAGCCGCGAAAATATGGATCGACAACATTAAAGACACTCTACGCTTTCACGGCATGACAATAGCCAGTGGCAGCCAACGTGCACTGGATTGCAGATTATTCCAAATGATGGCAGAAGTGGTTTATGATGATGATGATGATGATGATGATGATGATGATTATTTATTGAGTGGTCTAGAGGTTCATGAAATTGTTCACTATGCAGTCCTTAAGGGGAAAAAAAATTTCATTAGTTTCTTTCTTATTATAGTAAATATATCTGCCCAAATTGTAGCCCAAGTAATTTTCATTGTGAAGAACTTTAAGTTTGCTGCTATCCTCCGAATAACGGGCACATATTATGGCTGCCAAAAACAGGGCCTCAGTCACATGTAAATTGCGAACTTCCCGAGACCTAATGTGCAGACTACCAGCGACTACCGCCACCACCGAGAGTATCCCTCATGCCGCATGAGCGGCGTGGATTGAGGCTAAACTAGATTCCTGGGACTCACGAGCAAAGTTGCAGGAGATGCGGAAGCTGCTGCTCATGAGTCCCAGCCATCTAGTTTAGCCCCAATCCATGCCATGTTAGCGGCATGGGGGATACTCTCGGCGGTGGCGGTAGTCGCCGGTAGTCCGCAAATTAAGATGCCGGAAGTGCGCAATTGACATGTGACTGAGGCCCTGTTAGGGTGTTTTTTGCGGCCGCCATAATATGTGCCCATTATTCAGAGAATAGCCAAGTTTGTTTGTTTGTTACATAACATGTTATTCATCTTCCTGTCTTGTCATTAGGAATTGTGTGTAGCTGATCCCATGTCCTCCCCATTCTTTTCATCTCCTTTTCTATTTAGAATAACCTTCCATTATAACCCACAGTGTCAAAGGGCAGACCAAAAAACACATGGATAAGAGAACTGGAGAATTGTTTTAAAAAGACAGAAAGGAACAGAAATAGATTGGGTACCTTGGTGTGGGTTAAATGAGAGCCCATGCTCTATTGGTTGGTTAAGGGAAGAACAAAAAGACAAATAAAAAGAAGTAGAGGAGGAGGAAAAGGAGGAGGAAAAAGAAGAAGAAGAAGAAGAAATAAAATAAGAAGCAACATTACCAGTATTCCCACATTGTGTTTCATTTAACTCTTCGCTTGCTGCTGAAAATGGGAACAAAGCGCTTATTTGAGTGTCCTGAGTTCTATGATGTTGATTCTTAATTCAACATTTGTTTGTCGTTGAAAGTATGAACTTAGCACCTTATCCTCAATTCATGTTTATATATCACTCACACAAGAACTGAACATTTACTGTTGTTTGTACCCTCTTCACACCTGATGTTATGATTTCTTGATTTGCTCAGATGGCTTGTGGTGTCGCAATAGCATTGGCTGTGATCATGGATGCCAACCAGCAGTAACTGGCAACAAGGTTGAATGTTACTGCAGAAACGGTTATACTTTACATTCCGATGGAAAGACCTGCCTTAGTAAGGGCTGTTTGTTTTGTTGTTGCACAGTTTTACAAATTTAACTAAATTGTATAGTAACTAGATGGAGATCAAGATTTTACTGTAGGAAAAATTAATGAGAGAGTAGAAAGAAAAATGGTTGAATAGATTTGGGCACAATATATGATAATCATTTTCAGCAATATCTTAATCGCCTTTGAACTTTGGGAAACTTCTTCGACTTCTCTGGTCCTGTTCTGCCTTTCAGTATCCGGTTTTGAAGAGGCATCTGCTGTGAGATTTGGTATGTTCTAGGTAGATGCTGATATTTACAGCCTTGAATATTCCATCTATCCATGGCTTGCATGGTCAACCTCTAGAACTGCTTCGACTGTGTCTAAGTGACAGAGCTCTCTGTGGTGAACTGCCTGGTAGTGGTTTTGACACATGTCCAAACCATTTGATCTGTTGTCTCTTAGTGTAGATTAGTACTGGTTTCGTCCCAACTTCTTTCCTGAAATCATCATTTCTGATCCTATCTCTTCGTCACATTTATAATTTGTTGTAGACATTTCTTTTCTAGTGTTTCGATTTAAAAAAAAAAATTGTGTGTATTTTTGTTTTGTTGATGTCCGTGTTTAGCACAGGTAATGTAATATTGGTTAAAATTACTCTGTTGAACAGTGCTCTTTTGGTGTTGGTTATTACATGTTTGTTCAGCAAAATTGATGACATCTGTCCACTGATTTGATTGTCTTAAGTACATCTCTGATCTATCTCTGCTTCCTTTTCCCCATTGAATGATATTCTGCTTCCTAAGTTCTTGAAGTATTTTGCTTACTTGAGATGTTGGTTTTCTAGATATATCTTGACTGGTTCTTCTGTTCTTGCAGTGATCTTAATTTCTTTGTTGAATGTTAATTTTCATGTTTTGTTGCTTTTGCTGCGATGATGAGACTGCAATATTGGGAAGCACACATTTATTCCCTGAGGGTTATCACCGAGGGGTGCAAAACTAGCCAGCTGTCTGCCTGTTTGTTTTCCAACACACCAGCATGCTCTGGAGAAAAATCTAATGGATGCTAACTACCCTGGACCTCTGAAGCACTGTCTGCCACTTAGCATGAGGTACACTTGCCTCCATCTTTTTCAGCACACTTTGTGAGTCAGGTACAGAAACAACATTTGTGTGCAATTGGTTCTCATGCCAATTGAAGGCTGCAGTGACTGCCTCTACCACCATTCTCAAACTAATGTTTAATTAAGAATCAACATCACAGCACTTGGGACACTCCCATAGGTGCTCCCCTTCTTCAGCAGCAAGTGCAGAGTTCCAATTTTGATTTTACCTGTAACAGTCTGATTGTATATCCATCTCACCTTCCATCTGAGTGTTGATCATTTGCAAAATCCCCTAGTCACTCCATGCAGCACCATTTCCCGCAGACCATGCTCATCTGTCTATCCCTTCACACTTTCTCTCAGTCCAAAGGGCCCTTGCCAAAATCTACCTTGTCATGCATCATTTCACCACCAAGTTGTGCAGAACCAGCCAGTCTGTCTGCTCAAACTAGATGATGTAATATCATATACCATGCTTAGTTGCAGTAAGGGTCATCCATTCACTTTTGCTAGAACCTCTGCACAGTTCTGCCAGCATTATAGAAGATCACATTTTCTAGGAGGGAGTCGCTGTGGCCGAGTGGCTAGACGCTTGCCGCGGATCGGAAGGTCGTGGGTTCACTCCCTAGTCGAGCCGGACTTTTTTTTTCTCCAAAAATGACCTTGGCTCCTAGATCGACCCAGCCTTGAGTGGGTACCGGGTGCAGTCCCGGGAAGTAAAGGCGGCCGGCGTGATGCTAACCACATCACCCATCTTGTGCCGATAGGTCTATAAAAATATAGGTCTGGTCTTAAATGCCCAATACGCCTAAAAGCGTGGAAAAGGGTCCTTTACTTTTACTTTCCTTAAATTTTCTAGGCAGGAATTATCATGAATCAGCTGTTGAACTTCTGAACTGCAGTGATTGCTGGCCAGTTCTTGCACTCCTAGAGTGTCAGGGGACTAGAGACGGCCACAAGAAATGCTAAGATAGATTAGTCAAAGAAGATCATTACTGATCAATACTAAACAGATTTTCTAATCTGCAAATTGAGAACCATAAAACTGTATGTAATTTTTATACACAGGAAGTTGCCAGCTGGGTAATGGTGGCTGTCAGCATATCTGTAATACAACAGCACAAGGTCCTGTGTGTTCGTGTGCAGAGAATTATATTTTGAATTCAGATAAAAAAACATGCACAGGTAGGGCTAATGTGTTGTGTTTTGATTGTCAGAAATTCTTGTAACCATTTGTACAGTTCTGTCTATGTTATGGTCTATCATATAAATATTTTGTGATTATTTTGCATTAATTTAGTTATGAATTATAGATACACAAAAAAAGTATAAATTACATTCTGAATTCAGATTAAAAAACATGCACAGGTAGGGTTAATATTTGTTGTTTTGATTATCATAAATTCTGTTAATCACATTTACAGTTTTATATATATTATTAAAACTAATAAATATGTCAGAGACAAAATATACAAATTTGCAAGACATTGGCAGTGGTGAAACTTTGCAAACTAACTTGGTTTGGGCACGTGGTGAGACATGATTCAAATGCAGAGACTTCAAGGTACACTGGGGGATAGTTGAAGAAGAGGAGGGCAAAGAAGAATCCTGGCATGACAACATCAAGAAATGGACAGGACTAAGTTTTCATACACTTATTCATCGAGCAGAAGACAGAGAAAGATGGCGAGTTTTATGTGCTAGTGCTTCCATCAACACACATCCACGACCTTAATGAGTCAATGGTTATGTTATGCTAATTTTTGATAATGTTACATTAATGTAGTCGGCATTTGTGGATTAGGTGTTGCAAACACGCTTTGTTATGCTGGGGTACTGGGTTCAATCTCAGCTGCGGATGGTTTGTCTTGCATTCGTTTTGGCGGTGGTACCGAGAGCTGACCGTTCAGAGGAAATGGAAGACTAATGAATGTAAAATTTTACCTGGAAAACCACAGCAGCTACCAAAAAAAATGTAAACACATTCTGGGGTTGGTTCTGCAATGTCTTCTAAAGGATACACAACTAACTGACATTAATTAAATTATTAATTACAGATAAATAAAATTTGAGGGATAGGTAGTCGAGTAGCTAGAATAAGGTAAATGTAAAATAAAGGAAATTCTTCCACAGAATGAGGAATTTTGGGTATACTTTTCTCTGAAATTGTAGGCTCCTGCTCTGTGAATAATGGTGGTTGTGAGAGAAAGTGTACAGACTCCAGTCAAGGCCCAGTCTGCTCTTGCCCTGTGGGTTACAAACTTCATCAAGATGGCCGATCATGTATAGGTAATTTAAAAATCATTAACTTTTCAAATATTTGTAATTTTAGGACTGGTTGTTTGGGGTTGAAACAAAATAAAAAAAGGATGGGACCACCATTGCTCATTATTCCAAGGCTTAGTAAATGTGAAAGCCTAACACTTCACCAGTGACGTAGCAAGGTCGGATGGTTGGTATGCTGTGCAACCTCCCCCCCCCCCCCCCAAATAAATTTAAATTTTTTTTTCTCCATTTTGTCACCCTCCCCAGTGATGGTATCTGGTGCAGCCTGCACCCCCTTCCTAAGCCACCTCACTTAACACTCAGAAAGGCAGTAAGTAAAAAAGTAAAGATCCCTTTACATGCCCTTAGGCGCATTGGGCATATGGGAAGAGCACCCATATTTTTACAGACCAATCGGCACTCGGTGGGTAATGTGGTCAGCATTACGCTGGCCGTCTTTACTTTTCCAGGACAGCCCATCCTGGTACCCATTTGAGGCTGGGTCGACCTGTGACGTCCCATACCACGATAAAAATCCACGCAGCCCACGCAGGTTTCGATCGCGGTACGTTGGATTACGAGTCAGACTCGCAACACCTTAGCCACGGACGAAAAAGGCAGTACCAACAGTAAAACTATACTTACATTTACTAATCATGTTTGAAAAAAAAGGTGCTTATCACAAACCCACCTGCATGGCAAGAGTTCCTTCCCTTCCCATTCACACCACGGCGGGTTGCACGTCCTTTCATATGTTGCAGGGGTGTCACGTATTCCTTATTTTCAACACTTTAATAATTGTGTCTTCTCTCATGTTGTCACTGCTCACTTGTGTGATTATTTCCATGCTAAGCTACTTTCTTGATGGTTCAGGAGTATAGAAACTGGGATGTTTTTGTATTCTTACATTCCCTGTCAGTGGCTTCTTTCACCGACACAGAGCCTAGAACCCACCCATTGGTGAATTATCATGAAGTGAGACATGAAGATGTTTTACACCTGTTAAATAAAGTAAAACAGTGTCGCATCAGGCATATGATGCCAGACTCACACTTTTATAGACCAGTCAGCACTTGGTGGCTGATGTGGCTGTCATAAAGCAGGCCACTTTTACTTTCCATGTCTTTGCCTCTGTCATTGTAAAAGACAAGGTCAGTTTTGTTGCTGGTTACAACCTATGATTTTTGAGCCCGCAGGCAAGTTTTTAACCATTGCGCAACTACAGACTGTAACATTTTTATTTCACCTTTCGTTTTCTTCTTCTGTGTTTACCCTTGAAAGGATAACTGACAAACCCCAAGTTGGTCACCTTTTACAGCATTTATGTTAGTGAAACAGTGGGTCTAGTCTTTTTCCCCATAAACTATAGATTCTGGAACCCACTGCACTCACTAACTGTAAACTCCGATGGAAGATTCTGGTTGTTCATCCACTTCTGGACTTTGATTGTTTTGCTTTATTCCAGAACTTGAGTTTTGCATCATCATCATCACCAATCAGAAGGTATTTGACACAATGTCACTCACATCTTGACATGGATACAAGTCTCTCTTTAGCTATTCCTTCAGTCAAGTATGCAGTCATGGTTGTTTTTTTTTTATTTATTTATTTTTTATTTTAATTTTTTAAAAATATTTTTTTTATTTTTTACTTAACATTTTTTTTTTAAAGTATCCAGAAGCCATGAGTTGTTTACCCTTAGGCTATGTACTATGGATATCGCAACCCTTCGGCATTTATTCCATTATAAATACCGTAAATCTGGGAGAAATGTGGCTTTTCTGCCTACCCCCGGGTGTGAACCCGGACCACAAGGAGTTCGTCACCCGGTCACCGTGCAGTCCGGTTTAGCCAGTTACGCTAGCGAGCCGAGCACAGTCATGGATTAAAAAGATTGGTGCAGGATGTAGCCGATGTTCACCAAATAGGTGTATCGGATGCGGGGCATCTTGCTTGTGATCAAGAAGTTTTCCCGTAGGGTTGTTATAGCAGCAAGGTTCTACAAAGGACATGCTACTAACTACTGACTACTGACTGCTGACTACGGACTACTGACTACTGACTGCTGACAACTGACTACTGACTAATGTGCTGTGATAGCCAGTGCATCATCAATACCTTGTATCCCCATTTGCAGTGGTCTGTTTTGCATCATTTCCCAGAAACTTTACCCTCCATCTCAGTTCTCTCCAGGCCACCATTATGTTTAACGTGACCAAAAATAAAGGGTAGGATGGTTGAATTATGTAGGGCGTGAGTTTGGCATTTTATGGACCTGGCGTTTTGTTGGTTCCTCTCGGGCAAATGCACTCTGACTTCTAAAGAAACACAGCTAAATAGTTACCTTTTATGAAATGCTTCATATGGGGCCAGTGGTATTATTGTCCCCCTCAGAGCGGGGCCCCAGAACCCACATGAGGAACACAGGAAATATTTAACTGAAAAGCATGCTACATATGGGAGTTGCCATGGCGGAGCGGCTAAATGCTCGCTGCGGATCAGAAGGACATGGGTTCGCTTCCTGGTGGAGCCCGACTTTTTTCAAAAAATGACCTTGGCTCCCAGGTCGACCCAGCCTTGAGTGGGTACAGTCCCAGGAAGTAAAGGCAGCCACCGTGATGCTGACCACAACACCGATCTTGTGCCGATTGGTCTATAAAATTTAGGTTTAGCCCTATATGCCCTATATGCCTAAAGGCGTTGAAAAGGTTTCTTTACTTACTTTACCTTATTTTTTTAACTTGTTACTTATGCTGCGTACAATTCCAGCTAGGATTGTGATGTTCAAGTTCAGCCTGCCAAAATTACAGTGTTCAGTTTCTCTCTTCTTTGCAGATGTTGATGAATGTGAGAAGAAGATGGATGGGTGCTCTCATCTGTGTGAAAATATAAAGGGAAGTTTTGAATGTGTGTGCCCGCTTGGGTATAAAGTCAGTACAGACTACAAAACGTGTGTAGGTGAGTAGACAGTGAGTTTTATACTCCATTCATTGTGAAGACAGTGATTCATTTATTGATTGTGTATCTTGTATTTATGCTCTAGTCATTGGGAGGATAGACATTGATTGCATAATCCATCATTTATGCTCCATTTATTGTGAATACAGTGCTTCATTCATTGAATGTGCATCTTTATTTATGCTTCACTCATTAGGAAGATGGTTCATTGATTTTATAAGTGCATTATTTATGCTCCATTTGTTGTAAAGACAGTGCTTTATTCACTGATTGTATATCTTGTATTTATGCTCTAGTCATTGGGAAGATATACATTGATTGTATAATTGCTTTATTTATGCTTCAATCATTGTGAATACAGTGCTTCACTCATTGATTGTACAACTGCATTTATGCTTCAATTATTTGAAAGATAGACTTTGGTCCATTGATTGAATAAGTGCAATATTATGCTCCATTTATTATGAAGACAGTGCTTCATTCATTGATTGTATATCTGTGTTTATGCTTCATTAATTCGGAAGATATGATTTATTTCATTGATTGTATAAGTGCAATATTTATGTTTTGTTCATTTGAAGACTTCTTCTTTTTCTACGTTAATAGCGGCTGTAAACTCTGGCAGAAAGTTCTGGTTGTTTATCCACTTCTTGTCCCAGAACCTGAGTTGTTTTCACTGTACTCCAGATTTCCCTTTCAGCATATACATCAGGGTCCCTCAGTTAATAGTGCCAGGCTTATGTGGGTTGACAAGACTTCTTGTACGTCCTATGTGCCTTTCATGCCTAGCTGTGCCAAACTGTACTCCCACTTCTTGCTTTCTTAGCAGTGATGCGTACACACTGCTCCAAAAGTCCTCTGATAGTCCTAAGCCTCTGAGGAGGGGGGGAGAAAGGGGAAGAAGAAGAAAAAGAAGAAGAAGAAGAAGAAGAAGAAGAAGAAGAAGAAGAAGAAGGGATTTCAGTGTCTTTGTCTTAGACTTAGTCGAGGTTTTAACTTCACTGCAATTGGGCTTCCCCATACTTGCTCCGTTCCTGTGCCAGTGCAAATCAAATAAAGTGTCTCTTACTGTTTTTTTGTGGAAAAAATTGGTGAACAAATAACTAGTCCCGGAACAATCCAGAAATATGCACACGCAGTAAATGCATATGACAGTTGCTAGAGGCACCAAAGCCAAGAGTCGCCACCAGAAATGGAAGTAGTCGGGTACGAAGAAGGGATTTCAGTGTAATAACCTGCACACTTACTCTATATTATGAGGGTCAGTGAATGAAACAGAATAGTAACACCTCCTATGCAACTCAGAATATTTTTATTATTTTTACATTTGGAGCTGTTAATTCTTATTGCTATTTTAATGTATATTATATGGCTGATATAAAAATTGCCTTTTCTTTTAATTTAGATATTGATGAGTGTTTGTTGAATTCTACATGTGACCACAAATGTGTTAACTTACCTGGCTCATTCCAGTGCCACTGCAATCCAGGATATCAACAATTTGGAGTTACACATTGTGCAGGTACATGTTTATACTCACTTTATTAGCCCTTTCACTCCAAAAATTAAATAAAAAATTCTCTACTTTAAAATTCCATTACAAAGAAATGCATTGTTATAATTCTCTTTAACACTTCCCTGAAAAAAAACCCACCATAAAAAAAAAAACTTTGGAGAAGAGAAGGAAAAGCCTAAGAAATCTGGAGTCTTGGTCAGTTTGTATAAATATTCAGGGCGTTAAAACCTGTGACTACCGAGCAGACAGGCATGTCTGCTAGCTGTGTCACCTGCTAGCTATTCCCCCCCCCCCCCTTGTCATTAAAGATGGATTTTTCATATTTAGAGTTATTATTTTGTGCAAACATAAGATTTTTTTTAATGTAAAAGAATTAATCATTGAATATAAACAGAGCAAAGAAATAATGGCTTTCCCTCAATTTGACCCAGAAAACAGGTGTTTTGCTGGAAAACAGGCTAAGGGGTGACATGGTTAATAAATACCTCACGTCACATGTTTTATCACTAACGAGCTTTACCTTCAATTCTGCTGGTTGGCTGCAGTGACCACTCCTGTCTTTAAGAATATAACATGGTAAGGCCCCAAATCTCTTCCATGGTGTGACTCTCATACTACTATTTAGAAACCACAAGAACTTTTGTGTGTGTGTGTGTGTGTGTGTGTGTGTTTTGTTTGTTTGTTAACAGTCCATCATGGAAATGAAAGCCTAGTACACAAGAAAGATTAAATTGTTAAACACATTTAAGCTATAAAGCCGCAAATATTATTAAAGAGAAAAATGAATATTTATCAAGATATAAATTAACTGTCACTGGGAAGGTTAACCCGGTCAACAAATACCCACAGAAATGAGATGTTTTGGCCAAAAGGTGCAAATATTGCAGCCATGCTGTAAACGGACACAACTCAATTACATCTTCTGATGAACGCAGAAGAAGAAGAATTATCTGTCATGCCTTCATTTAAGCAGCACACATCAAATCATTGGGAATGGCTTGGGGTGATTGAGATATTATGAGAAACAAATTGTATTGTACTGAATGGCAATCATGGATGCAGAACAAAGACCGGTTCTCTTGTTCTACTTTCTTTTTTCTTCACCTTCATACTCGTCACCTAGAAAAACAAAAGGTTAAATTGTTCTGCTTCTTTCTTGTTCATCTTTATCCCTGTAAGATTGTCTTGTTCTACTTCTTTCTAATCATCTTTGTCCCTCTTGTCCAGAAAAAAAATAGAAAGGTTCTCTTGCTCTGCTTCTTTTTTCTTCACATTTATCCCTGTTGCACAGAAGAAAAAAGGTATCTTGTTCTACTTCTTTCTTCTTCACCTTTATTCCTGTTGTACAGAAAAAGAAAAAAAACAACTCTCTTGTTCAACTTCTTTCTTCTTCATATTTTTTGTTACCAGGAAAAAAAGGGGTTATCTTGTTCTGCTTCTTTTTTCTTCATCTTTATCCCTGTTGCCCGGGGTAAAAAAGGTTATCTTGTTCTACTTGTTTTTTTCTTCATCTTTATCCCTGTTGCCCGGGGTAAAATAGGTTATCTTGTTCTACTTCTTTTTTTTCTTCATCTTTATCAGTCCTGCAAATGCCAATATATGGCCATTTCTGCAATGACTTGGTCTCAAAAGGTGTGGTTAAATTCCAATGGCCCCTATGCCTGCATGTGTGAATAGTTTTTAGGCCAGGAAATGAATATAGTAACTAAAAATAGCATTGTGAGTTTCTGATGTTGCATTGATATTTATAAAGGTAAACAAATCTATTCTTATAAGCATTTTAAGAAATTGTTGAGGCAGAAATTAACAATAGGGGAGAAGCATGGATTGGGATATAAGAGGTGCAAAAGATTAGAATGGTTTTATTTGAGTTGGCTGGTGGGTAGGAGGGGAAGAAGAAAAAGAAGAAGAAGAAGAGGAAGAGGAAGAAAAAAAGAGGAAGTAAAAGAAGAAGAAGGAGAAGAAGAAGAACTAGAAAAAAGAAGAAGAAGAAGCAGCAGCAAGAGGAGGAGGTTGCCAAGAAAAATAAGATGACCCCCCCCCCCCCCATGATATTGCTTTGTCATCAATCAAAAACCAGTTGGTCCATAAAGTTTTCAGGTACACCCAAGACATAAAAGAGCCTTTATTTTACTTCGTAAAAATTAAACACTTCTTCTTGTCTTCTTCTTCTGCTCCAGTTCTTCTTCTTATAGTCTGTGCCATATGACGTTGGTAGTCATGTCTATCTACAACCTTCTGTCTCGTGTACTTTCAATCACTTTTGACACAGATAAGCTTCCATGCCATCATGTCTCACTGTCCAGCATCTTCTCACCCAGTCTCCCTCTGCCTCTCTTCCCCATCAACTTTCCCACTGTGAAAGTATTCTCCAGTTTTCTCCTTCTCATGAAAAGACTAAAGAATGTAGATTGTTCCTCCAGTTAACTCTTTAGAATGCTGAGGCAGGATGAAATAATATGTATTCTCATTCTATTATATTGTCTATGTTGAACTCTTTATTTAATTTATGAGATCATAACAACTGGAAAAATCTGTGGAAGGAGGAATAGAGGAAGACAACGATAGAAGATTCTTGACAGTCTTGTTGCATGGCATGGAGGGGTGTCAGCACACGAACTGATATATGCTGGAGGAGATCGTGGATTGTGGAGAGGCATGGTCACCCATGCCAGTCGGCAAGGCACCTGATAATGATGATGATGAGATCATATCACTTAACGTTTATGTTACACATAAACAGCCCCAGAGACCTTTGCGATGCAAGGTCTAGCAATTTATTACTAGAACTAAAATCCATTTTTAGAAGGGTAAAGAATGCCCATGGCATCTTTGAAGAAGTTTCCCCTAAAGATAAAACAGAAGAGAATAATTGACTATGTTACTAAGGGAATAAATAATAAATCCAACATGTTAATGACACAATTTCGGTAAGATTGTTTAATTATTCATAGCAGTATCTGTCATAAGTTAGTTGTATATCCTTTACATGATGTTGCAGAACCAACCCCAGCATTTTTTGGCTGTTGTGTTTTTTCCAGGCAAATTTTGCTTTCAATTAGTTTGCCATTGCCTCTGAATGGTCAGGTCTCGGTACCACTCTTGAAACCAGTGGAAGACAAACCATCCGCAGCTAGGATCGAAACAGGATCGAAACCGCCACCCCTGCATTACGAAGCAGTTTGCAACGCCTAATCCACATACGCCGACGTCATTCATAAGCATAACCCAAATCAAAGCAGTATGAAGCAATACAAATTATATATTGGGCACTTTAATAATTATACGATATAGAAATGTAAAATAACAAGTATATGCATTTAGAAACCAATAAACACAATATATCCCAATTATAACCCTGAGGGTTGAACAGGATATTGTCGAAAAATTACTACTACATCTTCTTCTTCAGCATTCCAAGCCCTTGAGGCTAATTGCTGCAGATATCACCCGCCTCCATTCATCTCTCTGGTTGGCCTTCTCTTTCCACTTGGTGACACATTATCTCTCCATAATCTTCTTTGTCTGCTTAGTGGTATACGACCATTCATCTGACTCTTGGATCAGTTTTCACTTCGCTGTCATCCGACATTTTCTCAGTGTGCCCCAACCATTTCAGTCTGTTAGCTCTCATGATGTCAGTGATCAATGGTGATTAAAACAGATTATGAATTTTGTTGTTGCTTCTCACTCTCTGCTACCACTTAGCGTTCTAAACCATAATGTCCTCAGTTATCCTGTATATATGCTGTCTTTTACTTTGTATGTATACTGCAGTATCTCCCATTGAAGGTTCAAAAGTGTTACCTAATTAAGCATGCAGCCCTTAATCTTCCATCTCAAAGATCCCTCTCCCCACCTCCACTATAAAATTGGTAAACACTGGCAATAATGGTAGTTTTCCCAAAATTTCTCACTCTCTAATTGAGCCATATATTTTTTTTAAATAATTTTAGAGATTGTCTTTTTAATGTTTCCTTTCATTATGAATTCTATTTGCAGATGTGAATGAATGTAGTGTGTATAATGGAGGATGTATGCACACATGTTCAAACACAGAGGGTAGCTATTTATGTTCATGTAACTCAGGATTTAAACTTCATTCAAACAAGCATGACTGTATAGGTTTGTATTATGTTTTGTGTTTTTCTGACAAATTATTTCGCTGTTTTTTACTTTATAATTTTATAATTTGTTTTTTTTTAAACACATCTAAAGTCAAGTCAAATGTATGATATAATTATTGCCACCTTTCCATCTTTCCAGATGGTTATGTTAGAATGTGCTGCAGGGAGCCAATGCACTTACAGCCCATAGTGATGACGAGTGTTACTAGCTGTTACTAGAGACTCCGGTCAAAATAGACGCTAGGCGGGCCACTGTTTAGAGCAGAGGCAATTTTTTTGCTTCTGCCGGATGGTGGCCGATGGATTTTTGATCTATTTGTAGACTGGATATAGTTTCGTCGCCCAGCTTCTGAGTTGAATGCATGGTGTGACACTGTGAGCTGCAGATTTCATTTGGAATGTTTTTTCGACTGTGACCAACATGGTGGTGTGAATTGTAGATTCAGAAAATGGCACGATTCCTGTCGTCGCAATTTTGGTGGTGCCATTTTGTGATTAATATTGATCGCGTGGGCAACTGCAGATCTGTTGGTGACTTCTGCTACCATCAATGATGAACTGCATTTCTAATATTGGACTGTTTGTGTTAGCACTTCGGATGGCTACCGTATGCTTTAATGCGAGTGTAAGCTAGATATGCTGAGACTGCAGTCTGTCAATCTTTCCACAAGGGACTGTGATAAACATTCTGCGTGTTTTTCATTGGCACAGGAGCAGAGCAAAGATGGGGTGACCCATTTGCTAAGAAGCTGAAACTAAGACTACCAGACTAGACTACCAGACCAGACTACTAGTTGTGCTAAGGAAAAACAATTTACCAAAATAGTTGTGCACATCTAAAGCATGGGATTTCAGGACCATTGTTGCTACTGCATGTGTTTAACATGCTTTTTCTTGGAGGCTCTGGTCTTAACTTATCTGCAGTCATTTTCTCCTTTAGTCCTAAGTTGAATGTTGAATTAAGAAACTACATCATAGCACTCTTGATACTCCCATCCGTCTCACCCTTTCCCTGAGTGTTGAGCTTCGGCCAGATCCCCTGGTAACTCCCTGCAGCGCTATTCTCCTTAGACCGTAATGATCTATTTGCATTTCCTCACAGTTCACTCCCTCCCAGAAGGCCCTCACATTGTCTAGCTTGTCATACATCAGTTCACCACCAAGTGGTGCAGAGCCACCCATCTATCTGCCTGTTTATTTCCCAACACACCAGCATGACTGGAGAGAATATCCACAGGATGCTAACTACCCGGGATCTCTGAAGTGATGCTTGCCACTCTCTCAACATTCTTTGTGAGTCATTTACATTTACGGCATGTATGTACAGCTGATTCTCAAGCCAGCGGAAGGCAACAGTGACTGCCTCCACCTCAATTCTCAAACTAGACAATGTCCTTTAGCCCTTTTCCCTTCCTGATGTCCCCCTCCCCCTTTTTCCATGTAGCATAGTCCATGCGATCCTGATCACAAGAACCCACCTAATAGATGTATCACTGATGATCTGCTTGCCCACATCTTTTTATCACAGTAGAGAAATCTTCTTCTTCTTAAAGTCCATGCCAAGTGGCAGTGGTAGTCAATCCACAACCATCGTCTTGTGTACTTTCAGTCAGTTCTGACAAGGATGATCTCCCATGCCATGATGTCGTACTGTTCCAGATTCTTCTCTCTCAGTCTCCCTTTGCCTCTTTTACCCTCCAATTTTCCCATAATTTCAATTTACTTCAGTGTCTCTGTTTCATGACATGAACAAAGAATGTGGATTGTCTCTTTTTAATATGGACAGTCAGTTATCTTCTAAATTAATTTTCTTTAAGACAACTTTATGACTTTTATCTGTCCAGGGTGTTCTCATCATATGTCTGTAAAACTACATCTCTGCCTCTTCCACATAATTTATCACTTATTTGTCCAGTGGCTAACTGTCCATAATTCACATCCATATATAAGGATATGATTTATATAGCTCTTGAGAATTCTCTTTCTCACCACAGTTTGCAAAGAAAGATTGCTGGAGTATTCTTTATTTTGTGAAACGCTTCCTCTGCTTGAGCTATTCTACATTTAACTTCTTTATTAAATCTTCCATTCAGTATTATCAGAGACCCAGGTACTTGCACATATCAGCTTTCTTGAGAATTTAAATAATGTGGATACAAACAATACATTACACAATTGATTGCCAGGCATATTTTGCTGTATCTCATCAGGTGCGTTACTACAGAGTTACATCAACATAAAATAAAGCACAAAACTGAATAAATTCAACTGAAATGTGAATAGTTTTTTCCAAAACATTGTGTCTGTTTCATAACCACCGGAAGCTCACCATAGTTACGTGACTTACCACTTGTTGAGTATTGTTCCGTTTAAATCGATGTTGCATTTCGGAGGCTCTGTTTTCATTGTAGTTACCATTATTTCTTTTTTTTTTTCTGCTGTTAAAAGACCCTTGTTTAGGTATCTTCTACACCTCTGAAATTCACCGTTGAGAATGTCCTTAGGACGCTACCCTTCTCTGCGTTATTATCATTTTTTATGTCACAGACCTGCAGTAATAAATAATGTAGGTTTGGAAACAGTAACTGACCTGGGGAGCAATAGCTACTCTAATGGAAATGTAGTGGTTGAAATCCAGCAGAGAATTGCAAAGGCAGATTCTGCTTACTATAGACTTCACATTATCTGGAGATCATTCATCTACAGCACTAAAACTAAACTTAGGATATATAAAACATGCATTAGGACAGATCTCTTTCATGGAGCAGAAACTTTGAAAACAGGTAGAAAGATAGAGAGCATGCTCAGAGGTTTTGGGGGGGGGGGAAGACTTTTCAGAAGATTGTTGGAGTTCACATGGGAAGATAAAATCAGCAATTCTAGACTACAACAAATGACATACTTAGAAAATGTTAATTTAGAAATTTAAAAAAAAATTAATAGGGAGGTGGATTGGACATGTCCTCAGAATAAAGAAAGAGAAAGGGCCTAGACAGGCAATGCAGTGGATACCACAAGGACAGAGAGGAAGAGGTAGGCCCCGAGGCACTTGGAGGCGAAATTTTGAGGCTGAACTCAAGGCTACACGATGGACAAAACTTGAGATAGAGAGGATGGTTCAGGTTCAAATTGAGGGACGAGAGTTTGTCTCTGCCTTGTGTACCTCTGGGCATGATGAGGATTGATTGATTGAAAACAAAATAAAAAGATATCTCTAAGAAAGTCACAGTCACTGTTCTTTGGGCATGTGATCAGAAGGGAGGCATTGTAGAAAATCATAATCGTAGGGAAGTCAACAAAAGATTCTGCAGAGGCTGACTAAGATTGATGATGTTTTCTATTGGGGTGGGGGTGGGGGGGGGGGGAGGAGGAGTGGAGAGAGAAAACCTACTGCTGCTAACATACATGTCATAAGAGACAACTGTTAGGGCTGAAACATGTGTGTTTGGCTGAAAGGTAAAGATATCACAGTCTAGATATAAAGTACAACATGAAATACAAACTGCCCTTTGATGGCGAATGCAGAAGTATGATTGGCTTCCTTTCTTCTTCTTCTTTGTTCACCAGCTGTAAGCTCCGGTAGAAAGTTCTGGTTGTTCATCCATTTGGACTTTGGCTTTTTGCCAGGGCCTGAGTTTTGCATGTAGATCTGTTTTACTAGCTTATTTTTGTCCTGTTGGTTGTTCAAGTCACGGATGGCTCAGGCAGAAGACACAATCAGACAGGTATGCATCTTTGAGAACATTAGGCAAGGAGAAAAGTGGGTCAAAGTGCCACCTGAACAGTCCTACTTCTGTAGGGTCATAATCACACTGAGCTGGGAATGCAGAGACTGGCCAGCATGTGCTACAGAGGTGGAAATTCAGCATTTAATTCAAGATAATGCTCGCTCGGAGGATTTGATTATTTACACAGACAGTTCAGTGTCAAGAAGCAAAAGAAGTGCTTGGAGTTTCTTGGCAAAAGTTAATGGTCAAAGTTTGATGCAGGAGAGCCTAGCATATGATACCACAACATCCAGCTTAAGAATGGAGGTGGAGGTGGTCACTGCAGGTTTCCACTGAATAGAGAACATGACACACACAAACTTCGTGATTGTAACTGACTCAGAAAGCATGCTGGGGAAGATCAGGACAGGCGTGCTTCATGCAGAGTGCCATGCTTCACTGCGGAGGAAACAGGTGAGGAGTATTGTCTGGATTTTTTTTTACTGGAAGACGCTGGTGTGTTGGGAAATGAACAGTCAGACAGACTGGCTGGCTCTACACAACTTGGTGGAATACTGATACATGATAAGGCAGATGTGGTTAGTGCTTTGTGGGAGAGCATGTACAGGAGCAGATAGATCACCATAGTTTGGTGAGATTAATGCGGGAGAGGGGGGGGGGGGGGGGGTTTGATGAAAGGTTCTGGCAGATGCTCGAGGCTCAGAGGAAAGCCAAGACAGATGTTTAATCAGAATTGGTATCAGAACTGTTCGCTGGCTGCTGAAGATGGGGATGGAGCGCTTATGGGAATGCCCCGAGTGCCGATGTTCCTTGCTGCTTGGGTTGATCCACTCTGACTTCGAAGGAGGCCCCACTTAATCAACTCCTACGACATGCTTGTTGGGGAGGCATTGGGTCTATTCTTTTTCTCTGCACAGTGGGGCCCAGGAACCCACATGGAAGGGGGGGGGGGGGGGGTTCTTTTCAAAATGTAATTCACTTTACTGCACATTCCTCTGCTATTTTTGAATCGCTATTTTAATGTCAGGGAACCACGGAGGTGTAGTTGCTAGACGCTTGCCTGCGGATCAGAATGTCATGGTTTCGGATCCTGATAGAGCCTGACTTTTGTGAAAAATGACTTTGGCTACCAGGTAGATCCAGCCCTGAGTGGTTTCCAGGTATAGTCCTGGGAAGTAAAGGCAGCTGGCATGATGTCGAGCACATCACCCACTGAGTGCTGATTGGTCTATAAAATATAGGTCTAGCCCTATATGCCCAGTAAGTGTAA